GGGCGAGGATGAGGAGGAAGAGGAAGACGCTGAGGATGATCATCCCTTTCTAAGTTTCATCTTCAACTTCTTATTGGAGGTATAAACATTTTTACACAAGTGTGTGTATGCAAAGATACATTCTTAAAGCACTTTTCGTTGTATGTGTTCTAAATAATTACGAGAGGTCAACTTTGTGTGACAAATGTTTTTGTGCCTGTAATTTTCCTACATTGATAACAACAACCTCCCTGATGTTTTTGTAAGCTTTGTAAGACCAGTGAGTACGATTTCGATGCATCTAGCATTGACGTTGCAGATTGCAACCAAACCTGAATCCCTGTCCCTTTCCAAGCATGCAGGATAACCTACGATTGCCTTCGGGTAATGTAAAAATGCAAAAGGCCCTCTCTAGAGCCGGTGTTTGGTTTGTCTGTTCTGGGCAATAGGGCTCATTCTAAGCTAACGAAAACACAACGATTCTTAGTTTTAGTTGATTATACTCTAATGAAAACATGCTTATTAATGTTTTATTCAATTTCTGCCAATAGATCCTTTAAGTGTACACAGAAGCCCTGATGTGATTGATGTCTCTGCTGCTTCCTAATCGGATTTTGCTCTGTCCCATCTGTCTCCTGTCTCCTCCTGTTGAACTCCATCTCCTACACTTTCCTGTGATATTCAACCCCTTATGCTCGTCCTCTTTCCTTCGATTCCATGTCTGCTCGTGTGTACTGTCTGTATTGTCTGCCTCTGTCTCCCCAATCTTTCCTCTTCTTTTTCCACTTCTTCTCCCAAACTGTTTGGACCCTTGCATTTTCTACTTTCCTGTCTTTTCAGTCTCATAAAGCCAGTAGCCATGCGGTGCGTTTCCGTGTGTGCCAGCTGATCAACAAGTTGCTGGGCAGTATGGCAGAGAATGCCCAAATTGACGATGACCTCTTTGATCGCATCCACCAAGCCATGCTGGTCCGTGTCACTGACAAGTTCCCGAATGTGAGGATTCAGGCTGCTTTGGCCATGACCCGTCTACAGCAGCCAAAAGATCCTGACTGTCCCACCATCAATGGTTTGTTTTTGCCCTTCCTACTTTTCTTTTTGATTTACAAAAACACAGTAAAGCAATCAATCATTGTTTAAAATTGTGTGTTTGAGCCCAAATATCCACCATCTGCAGAAATACTGAAGTGGGACTTTTTGACTAGGCATAGTGTTCCTGCTCACCTCATGACCTATGTTCTCTATATAAACAAACTATAAACAAGCTCTGTCCTTTCTTCTTTTCAGCGTATATGTTGATTCTGGACAATGATGGTAATGCTGAGGTGCGACGTGCCGTTCTCTCCTGCATTGCAATGTCCCCTCGGACCCTCCCCAAAGTACTGAAACGTACCCGGGACATCAAAGAGAATGTCCGCAAGCTAGCCTACCAGGTACCCACACATGCTGTCAAATTATTCGGTACAAATATATGCAGACACATGCGAAGTATATCAACAGACAACATGATTAAGTTGTTTTGATTTGACTGAATACTCATTCTTGTTAAATGTTGTGAATTGAGGTTTGCTGTAACATTTCTATCTTTGTTCTCTGTTTCAAGGTTCTGGCTGACAAAGTTCACATTAAAGCTTTAACCATTGCACAGAGAGTAAGTCTACTGCAGCAGGGTCTCCATGAAACCTCAGGTAATAGCGGCTTCTGTGCCTCTGTGTTTAATATGTTACTTTTACACGGATAAAATTTTCAGGCACTTGCAGTAAGTTAAAACTTCAAATAAAGCTCCAACTAATGATTGTAGTAATTATCAATTAATCTGCCAATTATTTCTTGATTAATCATTTAGTCTATAAAGTGTCATAAAATGAGGGAAAAAAAATCAAAATATAGGCAGAGGTCATTAAAATATCTTTTCTTTGTCTAACATGAAGTTAAAACCCAAAGATATAATTTTCACAAAAATACAAAACAAGAAAAGGCAGAAAATTCTCACATTGGAGAAGCTGGAACCATTGTTTGATTTTTTTCTGTTTTGCTTGAAAAATGACCAAAAGATATTTGTCAATTATAAAAACAGTTGCCAATTCATCTGCTGATCAGCTCTGAGTTCTGTTCTTCTTCTGATTGGATGTCTGCATTGCAGAAGCAGTGAGGGAGGTGGTTTGCTGTCGCCTACTGCCGGCCTGGCTGTTTCGGCTGGATGGTAATGTCATAGAGTTGCTCCACAGGCTGGATGTAGAGAACTGTGCCCAAACAGCTCTAGACACACTGAAAGCCATCTTGAAAAACAAACCTACTGAGGAACTGCTGCAGGACAGAGTACAGCTCGACAACAGGTACACTCACATACTTCAAATTCTGCCTCTCTGGCTCTCTAATGTGACATAGCTGATAAAATGTATGAGGCTAGAGATTTATTATGTGTGTTTTTTAATAGGAAGCTGGTCCCAGTCGACTCTCTGACCTGTGAGAATGTGCTTTACTGGAGAGCTCTGTGTGAGTTTATCAAGGCTAAAGGCGATGAAGGTGATGAAATGCTGGAGCAAGTGTTGCCAGACGCTGCCACTTACGCTGACTACCTCTATGGGTGAGAGAAGAAACAGATTCACTGGATTATATTCATAGTTTTCTTGCTGTCAGTTGTGTGTTTTCTCCCTACTGCAGAGTAAATTGCAAAGCAGTAAATTGATCAGTAACAATAGGCTATATAGAATGATATATTCTTGTAGTCAACATAGTACTAACCATCTAAAGCAGCTATAATTGATATTTTATAGTAATAATAATGATAATTTAACTCAAAAAACAATTTGATAATGTGAAACCTACAGAGAATTATCACCTGAATGTTAAGCGCCCCTCTGCTTTATGGAGCTTTTTATGGGGTGAGTTTCAGCTCGTTGTTTAGCTGTGCAGAGCATTTAGCAGCTAATGATCCACATAGATCCCTCTTTTAGAGCTAAAACAGTGAATATTTGTCTTGCATTTGCCAGGTGTCCATATGTGCAAATAAGCAATTGTTTGCTTACAGGTTTGCCCCATTAACTTAAATGGTGATGATGTTATGTTCCCAACTTGTTTCTTCTGCCCACAGAATCAGTTATTGCAGGTTTAAATATAGTTTAAATCATTTTGTGATGCTCAGAGGAGCTAACTCACTTGCCATAACCATGTTGTAACTCCAGGTATCTGAAGGCATGCCCCGTGTTCTCAGAGGAGCACCTTCTGTATGTAACTGTGTGGCTAACTCAAGTCTAATATAACTGTTTTGAAGGTGTGGCTGACTAATGGCTAAAATTTTAACCTAATTATGAAGTAATGCCCTTTGTAAATGTGACCAGTGTGACATTTTTTATATATGTGTGTGTATGTATGTATATATATATATATATATATATATATATATATATATTATATATATTGATATAATATATATATATATAAAAGGACCTCATTCCTAGAACAACTTATTTTGATGCTCAGTGCTCTTGTAAGTCAGAGCGTTTTTATTTACAACATCAAAGCTAGCTACTTCAAAAACAGCTGTGATCAAGTGAACAGTGCCTCAGAGTCCCAACAGACTGAACTATAACTACTTTATAATTTAGCTCAACACCCTCACACTCAATGTTAGATTGCTCTTATTACACAGACACACCTTTTGAATTTGTTGTAATGTTTTATTCTTATAGATCTAGTTTTGCCTTTGATGTGAAAAGCAGAGTATTTATCTGGAAGACTGGTCATTGTGATTGAGATTAAAAAAAGAATTTCATTTTAACAATGCTGTCTTTGATCTTCAACGCACTACATACTGGATATAATCTTATATTGACTTCAAAATGTTACTTACAGCATGAATCACAGAGTGCCTTCCACACATATTTTTAAATCCCAGGACTCATTTGTCGTTCTTCATGTGCATTGCTGTTGGAGTAATCTGCTGTTTTATCACCTGCCTAATGTGTGTGATGCTGTCATGTGAATAAAGTAGCTGTATTTATGTGGCATGCTTAACATTTATCTGCTCATTAAATACATTTATTTTTTTCTTTTAAAAAGGTTTGTATGAATCATTCAGTGTCTGGCTGATTGCTGATACAGCTGCGTGTAGTGATTGCTTTTTAGTAGTGCGGGTGCAGTGTTCAGCTACAGTATTGCATTTTATATGGTTGTGATATTCTGTTTTGTACCACTGTGACTTGGGCAACTGAGAGCAGTCTAAATTTTTTCTTTTTCTTTTTGCTGTCACTGAATGTATAGCAGAATAATATCTAATCTGACTGTGCTCTGACAGCTGTTGTTACCTCTCAGATGTTTGACTCTTGACTCTGACTGTTGTAGATATCTGAGGGCAGTGCCTGTGCTGTCAGAGGAGCAGAGGGCTGACTTCAACCAGCTGGAGCTGGTCATGACCAAAGAGTTCATCTCTCAACAGCTCATCTATCTCATCGGATGTTTGGACACAAATGAGGAGGGCGGCAGGTAAGATGAGGGTCAGGGTTATGTTGGTAAAATGAATAACAGATGGTTGAAAAAATTGGGAGGGAAAAGCCAGCTGTCACAGAGGAGAGGGATGTGATATCATTTAAATATGGGGATAGTGGCACAGATAGTCTTTTTAGGAAGAAATTTATAGTGTGCCTCGCACCACTGCACACTGGCCAAACACATTGTGAAGTAAGCGTGTATGTCAGGTTCTTCTGAATGCACAGTCCTCGTTTTTATGCATCAAAGGTTTATCTGAACCTACCTAATATGAGGCTTCAGTACTCTGAGTTAATCAGATCAAATGGGCATCTTCTGCTTGTCTAATGCTGTTTCTCTGCTGAGCTGCAGTGAAAGGTGAGTTACCAAAACAGGGAAATTTGTACTAATAAGGCTGTAACTTTTGAAGCTGTCCATTTAGTTTGTCTAATTTGTTTAGCCTCTTATTAAATTCAGATAAACTTTGGACTGTCATTTTGCACAAAATGTGGACGGTGAATTGTGAGCCTATCCTTTGTCTGAACACCATTTTGAATATGTCTTTGTCTTAGTTTGAATATGTGAGATTCCTTCAATTTAATGTAATTTCATATATGAGTTAATCTAGCTTGGTAAGAGATTCATAGTGTCAGTTATTTTATAAATTCAATTTATTGTCCAGCTCTATTTTATTTTGCTCTGATTATCTTTCAGGGCAAAGGTTTTTTCCAGTTTCCTATTATTATTATTATTATTATTATTATTATTATTATTATTATCATAATCATCATTATTATTATTATTATTATCATCAGTTTGTTATGGTGTTCTTCATCATTATTTTGTTTGTCTTTGTAGGAAGCGTGTGTTGGCTGTTCTGCAGGAGATGTTGGCTCTTCCACAGACCCCCTCCTCCCTGGTCTCCCTGCTCACTGAGAAACTCCTCGCCCTCATCCCTGATGACCAAAGATGCATTCAGACTGTAAGTTATAGTTTACACTTAAATCTGAATTTTTCAATGCTGTAAAACCTGTGCTCATTTAATCCAGACTGAACATCTTTTCCACACACAAAGGGAAATGCATATATTGATGATCTTCATGAATTTACTTGACAGACCAATTAGAGAGAACTTAAAATATGAAGCTGAAATTATTTATCAATGTTTCCAGATTGGGTTGGGGGGTGGTGGTGGTGTTTGATTCTTTTCATGGAAGCATGTATTAAAACCGTCCTTTGCTACTAAATGTCCTTTGTTTGAAATGTCACAAAATTAAACAGATTTTCCATTCAGTGGTGGTACCATTACCACAGAGAAAGATGTCTAAATGAGCAGACTCTGTTGCGCAGGTGGCAGAAATCATCTCAGATGTGAGGGAGCCCATCATGGAGGCCAGTCAGCCAGTGGATGAGAACAAGAGCCGCCAGCAGCAGATCCAGGTGGGCAACACTCTGCCAACTGAAAGCACCCAGAGGCAATTAGATTTTGTAATACCTCACTGTTTTTTGTATTGATGAAAACATCACTTATTGGCACCGCACTAGTTTCATTTAGTAGAAAAGTTTGAATTATTAAGTGACAAAGATTGATTGTTACAGAAGAATATTCAGGTTTCTTATACCAAGAACATGTTTACTGATAATTAAATCTTACAAAGTTTTGTTCCTCACTAACTAACATAACTATATTTGTATACATACAGTATATGAATACAGTGTATTTAAATACTGACATTCAGATACCCTAAATTAAGATTTCTAACTCATAATTTTTGTTGAGTTCTAACTCTCCTCTGATCTGTGTTGATCTACATTATGTGCTCTATTTATATTCCTTCTTTGTCTGTTTGTATTTGTTCAACCTGTCAACCTCCATCTGGCTTGTATTTGGAGGCATAGCATGTGTTAACAAGTGGGGTGGAAGGTGCACATCATTTACGCCAGTCCGGGCTTTGCCTGGTGTATCCAGGTTCATTAGTTTTCCCTTTCTTTATCAGTTTTCCTCACCACATTTTTCCTTACTTGAGAGAGAGAGAGAGCCAGTTCCTTACCAGCCTATTTTTGTTTCTTACCAAGGAAAAAAAAGCACTGAGGGATTGTCTCAGAGTCTTGAGCTTCAGTCATGACTGTCAGTCCATCTACTCTCCAGCTAGCCTTGAAAATATAATGTCTTTGAGGCCAAACTGCTGCAGATGAGGTGAATCGTAGCCCAGGTGTTTAGCTTCCATTCTGTCAGTGCACCTGCTCTCTTTCTCCCTCTCTCCTTTTTTCAGTGAATAAGAGCAAAGAACCCTCTTGGGGGTTGTAACCTGGCCCAGAGCCTCAGCTGTTGTTGTTTTTCCTGTTAGAGGAGATGCAGTCGCCTGTCTCAACAGTCAAGAACCCTCTGGAGTGCATTTCAGCTAAGGAATGACTCTCACCTTTTCTGTTTATATCTCCACCACTCTTTTCTCCCCCTCCTCCCATCCAGCTAGCAGAGGTGAAGGTCCGTATCTTGGAGGCTAAACAAACCCTGGAGGACTGTATCGCTGCCCAGGAGTTCAGCCGTGCAGCAGAGCTAAAGGACTCCATCACAGAGTTTGAGAACCACAGGAACCAGATCGTCCAGGAAATTGCACAGAGCAGCCAGCTGACAGACAAGGAGAGCCGCACTGAGAAGGTACATGGCCAAATGGGAAGCTCTGCCCCTGTGTCTTTCCATGTCTTTAAACCTCAATAGTGAGCAATTTTCCTTCTGGAATTAAAAAAAAAAAAAAAAAAAAAAAAAAACCCAGGAAAGGCCTTAATTGTGTGTTTTTGTTTTCTGTGTTTCAGAATGACCCAGAGACTCTTCTGAGGTGTTTAACAATGTGTGCTGAACTGCTGAAGCAGATGAACATCAAGACTCGAATTGGTCCAACCATAAGTGCCCTAATGTCCTCACTGGTAAATATCCACACACCGCACCTCATCATTTCTTCCACTTACTGAATGTTACCATAGACGTATAGATCACAAGCTCCAACTGGATCTGCAATGCTACCCATAGTTTTGGTTAGCATATACTGTATTGTCTACCAAAGACTTATCTCAGCTCCTTTGGTGCCAGTGAACGCAGTGTCTGTTGCACATCTCTTTCAAATTTATTTATATGTCTGCATTCCCTCTACCGACTGGGCAGGGCACCACTTCACTGTCACTTAACATGAAAACTTTAATGATATACTTTTTCTCCACTAAGTGCTTGTATAAAATGGTCCACTTTTACAATGTTGTTTCACCTGTATTTCTAATTTTCTACTTGCTTTTAGGGATGCTAACCAAATGAAACCTTTGAATCATCTATGATGATTTGCTTATTGCCTGTTTGTCATGTCAAGCTGGTGAAATCAAATCAGTCAGAAGTTGGTTGAAGTCAGTATTTCTCTCTCTGTCAGGTCCTGCCGAGTATTGCAAATGCTCACCCTGCGGTCCGCAACATGGCTGTGGTGTGTCTGGGAACATGCACTCTGCACAGCAAGGAGCTGGCCAAAACCCACATGGTCCTGCTGCTACAAGTAATACTTTATAAATGTCTCATCTTCCTAAAATTCATTTGCATACTTATACTTATATAAACAGGCAACATGTTAGACAGTCAGTTAACCCAAAGTTTCATATTGAAACCAGATGTTGTATCCTCCTGTGTATTTTGGTTTAGTTTAGAGACTTCAGCTGCACCAGCGCATTAGAGAATGGACTTAAACTTGTCATACTTAATAAACATTTGAAACTTGCATTTAATAAACTCAACAGCAACATGTCTGTCTAGAAACAGCACCCTCGAGCTAATCCAGTGATCCACAGGGCTGAGGTCTTTTTAATTACTCTGTGCAACTGTAGCTAATAAAAAACAAACCTGCATAAGTAAGTACTACAAGGGCTAAGTGGAAAAATATGTTTTTGCGATTTTGGTTTCGCTGGCCCTAAAACTCAAACATATATTTTCTACGCCAGTACTAAAATTGTGTTTGTGTTTGTTTTCAGATTGCCCAGCTGGATGAGGTAAAGATCCGAATCAGTGCTCTGCGGGCCATCATTGACCTGCTGCTGCTGTTTGGCTTCCAGCTGCTCTCTGAAACAGCTGCCACTCAGACAGCCCCGCCCTCCCAGTCACCAGACAGACAAGAAGAGGAAGCACCACCAGTGGCCGAGGAGAAGGGAGAGGTATCGGAGGACACAGCGCAGAGTATCCTTGTGATGCTTTCAGAGTTCCTGGACAGCGAGGTGAGCTATTTCATGAACTGAGGTATGCGTTTAGTTTTTCTGGGAGTAAAATAGGTGAAGAAGTTTTATCAAGGTATTTGTGTGTTCAAAATTTTCAGGTGTCTGACCTGCGTACAGAAACAGCGGAGGGCCTGGCCAAACTTATGTACACCGGCCGCATCTCCAGTGCCAAGATGTTGTCTCGTCTGGTGTTGCTGTGGTACAACCCTGTCACTGAGGACGACACCCGCCTACGACACTGCCTCGGCGTCTTCTTCCAACTCTACGCCCGCGAGAGCAGGTCTCACGTGTTCTCATGCACAAAACAATGCAATGAGCTATGTGGTTAATTTATTGTGCATCATGTATCATGTGTACAGTATTACCCATCCTCCTGTTATTAGTATCATGACTTGCCTAGCTGAAGTGATTAGTTATGCAATACAAACTAATATGGAGTTGGTCTTGTGGTGTATTAGGGCCCACCAGGAGATTGTGGAGGAGAGTTTCCTTCTGACTGTACGGACTCTGATTAATGCCCCAGCCACCTCTCCTCTAGCTGAGGTGGATATTAACAATGTAGTCGAGCTGCTCGTGGAGCTGACCCGCCCCAGTGCACTTATTAAACCCTCAGCTAACACAGAGGTAAGAAACATCCACTGAGACTAATGTGTTGTTTATTGTTTATTAGTAGTCATGTTTTTATTGGCTCACTGAAACTTCTGATCATATTGCCTTATTCCCACAAATACATATTAATTTCTTCAACACAGATGAAGTCTTCAAATTGTTCTCTTGAATGCTTCAGTTCAGTTTAAAGCATGCAGAGCTTTAATTCACAATTGTTTGAGTAAGCTGTTTACAATTTAGATAACAGCTCAACAAGGCAAAAACTAATGGAATGTATTGGATGCATGTCTTTAGGAGGTGTGTGTCCATGACTATTTGGCGGTTCGTATGTGTGGGGAGATGCTGAAGGACCCTACAGTCCCTGAGGTTCGTCTCTATGCCAAGACTCTAAGCAACCTGGAGCTCAGCAGAGACGAGACTGTGAGAAAAGACCTGCAGACACTGCTGCAACAGCTTGTACAGGTATACACAGACATACAGTTAAAAACAAGCCATTCCTACGGTTACGTATACCTATATACCGAGGGCTGCAGCTTTTAGACCAACAGTCTAAAAGCCAAAAATACTGTTTACTATCATATAAAACAGAAAAGGTCTAAATTTTCACAATCGAGAAGTTGGAACCAGAGAATATTACTCAATTGTTATAATATCAACATTTTGTGTCAATAGAATACTAGATTAATTGACTAATTGTTGCACCTTTACAAACATTTATATCTGTCCTGTGAAATGTTTAATTTCTCCATTTTCTGTTGTCCTTTTCTCCAGGTGGTGAGGGATCGTGTCTGTCTCCGTGCTCTGGAGAAGATGGTTAATCAGCTGGTGGACTCAAAAGAACAAGCTGAGCTCCTTAGTGCCAGCGCACTACAACCACTGGATGTCAATGCAGATGGTACATAAGCAAACATAGTGACAATCTGTATAAAAGACCCCCTCACATCCCGCTGAGCATCCGTAACAAATGTTACCTTCTCGGTGCCTGTGTCTAAGTAGATTTACACTACATATGTTTGCGACAACTCCTCCTGTAAAAGGATTATGTTTTATTAGCACAGTATTTCCTCTAGGATTACGACCCCCCCTCCACCCACTTGTGCTGCTAAGTTGAAAAATTTAGGAGCACAAAATAATAATTTTCCTTAATGAAGGGATATGAGGAGACATTAACAAGACACATTATTTCATTTGTATGAATACAAAAGGCAGAGAGGAATGGCAAAAATAAGAATTTTCTGTCTGCTGTTTCCACAGAGGCTGCAACAGAAGATCCATCTAAATCTGCCAAGAGAGCTAAAAGAGGTAATGCAGGTTCTGTATACTCATCTAAATCTGCAGTTGTTGTTAGTGCCTGTGTATTTTTAGAGCTCTTCTTGTCTACCTGAGAGGAGGACTTGACTCAGCGCTGTGAGGTAACCTGAGTGTTTGTGTGCACAGGTCAGAGGAAAGTCTGCACAGCTAAAGGAGGCAGAAAGCCAAGCAGGAGGGCAGAGTCATCAGAGGAGAGGTGAGTCTTTTCCGTTATTCCCGTCAATGTGTAGGGAAACGTGGTGGCTGAAGCCATCCTGCATGATTTGATACCACTACTTCATTTTCACATTCTCATTTCTCACATTTAGCTTGTTGTGTTCAATTTTTGTTTTGGCTAGTGATGGAGAAAATGTTCCTGAGTCAGTTCCTGTGGTGCGTCCATCACGGAGAGCCAAAACGACAGCTCTCGAGAAAACAAAGCTGGATCTCAACACCCTCATCAACCAGGAGGCAAATCTGTCATAGAAGTCAGGTTATGAACAATCAATGCAAAAATGAAAATTGAAATTAGTTACTTTTAACTAACCAGGATTCAATTACTCCAGTTTAACATTATTCATAAATACTTTTCTTTTGTCAACATCTAGTAAAACTGATGTCAATAAATGTAACTGGTGCTCACACATCTAATTTAGATCCCTCATAATGGGGTCACCCCTTCATATGTAGTCGTATTTCCTCTTACGTTGTTATTTTAATCATTAAAGTAAGATGTATGTCAATAAAGCTTGCCCTCTTCATTATCACAAAACCAGATCAGTGGCAGCCCCCAATCTTTTTGGTTCAGTATGGAACCTACTCATTTGCCAATGTAAAATTGATAGGTTGGGGGTGATCAATATGACCCCCAACAGTACATTAGGGAGGGGAGGGGAGGGGGGAATACGCTCTACACTGCTGAAGGTGCAACAGTGGAGACTATGGGTTGTGTTTTTTTTCGTTTCAGTCTACTATAAATCATATTGCTCAGTAGTTATTTCAAAAGACTCTTTATTGTTCCAATTACAGAAACCTGTTGGTTGCATCTGTAATGGACAGTATAAAAACACATAATAAAGAAAATATACAACAGATGTTTAGCACCAGGTTCTTCAACAGAGGGCTGAGAGTTATTTATCACAATACTGGGCCACTCCATTTCCCTCCTGTTGAAATGGCAACCATAGTGACATACATACAAGGGTAGTCAGGCACACAATACACACTACAGGTTTAAGTTTTGACCTACAGCCAGACATCTTGGATCTAACATGATACTGATCCAAGATTAGTGTTTACCAATCAACTCTGGCCTTGTCTATCACACGGTTGATAAGCAAAAGAGCAGTAGGCCTAGCTGAGCCCCAGTGGAGGTAGGCGTCTCTTGCTGCAACTTGAGAAACACAACAGGAACTCTAGGGAAACCTTAACAGCAACACATCTCCCACCTGCATTTAAACAGTAAATAATGCTAGTATGTTTATGATAAAAACAATTTAATGCTATTATAACATGTAAAAATCTGTTATTTTTCTGCTTAATTGAGCACAAAGCAGGTGGGAAAAAAAAGTTTGTATAGCAATATCCTTTAAGCTCACATTACATGGCTATGGAAACAACTGAAGTAACATCCCAGGCCATTGGTACTTGTGTACATCCATTCGTCTGTCAGCAATAAAATAATTACTACATACTGATAAATCATCTGGGTTTGTATTGCACCAAATAGATTCTCTAGTTTTACAGTAGGGGATGGTAGTGGGACATGGGATGTGCAAAATATGGGGGAGGAATCTGTAGTGGGATTAATAATCTCAGATGGAATAGTGCAAGAAGTAGATCTGACACTGACGACATACAGTATATGCTTTGGGTGAAAACAAGACAATAACATAACGATAGATGAGTTAAAACAAGTCAGATCCCACAAACCAAAAAATGAATCAGAATATACTTTCTACAACTGCATAATGCCACTTTCTTCATCACTTCACATATACCACTGGGTTTTGTGGCTTGTTGGGGCTGGATATGTAGTCATTTAGAACACTTACGATTGTGGTAATTGTGGTTTGGTGCTGAGAATTGCAAACATTTTAAAAGAAATAATGCATAAAATATTTGGTTTTAGTACAGATTGATGGCCAATTAGTTAAGTACGGAATTTTAGAGGACCCTTACACATATTTTGGAAAGGGTAAAAAAAAAAAAAAAGATTCCTTCATTCAAAGCATTTTTTTGGCTACTGGCTTGCAATACAACAACAGTGACTATAGCAAACAATGCTCAGCTCTAGTGAATGTCATTAAATTTCAATACAAGTTTTTTTAAACCTTGAATACAAAACAAATCATTAAATTAGGGGGGTGGCAGCACTGTCTTTATGCAGTCAAGTCTTTCCTTCCAATACAGCCACTCTGACAGGGCTCACTGTATAAGCACTTATCCCATAAAAACTCTGTAATGATTGATGTACTAAACACGTTCAGAAAGACAAAGGCAAGTTGACAAAAAAAAAAAAAAAAATCAAACATTCTGTACATACATATCCATGGATAAAAATAGTGCAACATCAAGCTTTTGTTAAGTTAGACTGCTACATAATTGCTGAGTGTAAGACTGAACCATAGTGGGATGGTCAGTCCACGTGGTCAGCTCAATGTCCAAAGGCACCACGTTAAACCACAGTCCCTTTCCCAGGAAGGAGGAGGCTTCATGCTTCATTTAGTTCTCTGTCAGAAAAGAAAGAGAGTAAAAGTTGACTTTGTCGTGATTTTAAACTGAAGCTTAATAAACGTCTATGTCTTTAGTGATATTCAATAAAGAAGCAAGATAGTTACCAAACACAAAGTCACACCATCTCGGCCCGGTCAGGCCCCTCATTCGCGATTGTCTCAACATTTTCGCTGGTGGTGGTTGTGGTGGTTCAGTAGACACAACCCCAGGACTTTTGTATTTGCCTTTCTGCCTCCCCACTGGCATCTCATCCTGCTCCTGGACTGATTTAGGTGCAGAACCTGCCAGCTCTCTGGAGGTAGACCTCCTATTCATGCTCCTTTTTCTTTCAGTTTTCACAGCTTTAACAACTCCTACCAGTTCTCTCTCCCTTCCTGCATATAGGTATGCAGAGGGTGACCCATCATCCAGTGTCACAGTACAGGAGTCCCACTCTTCCTCAGTCGATTCATTGTCTGGAGAGTTGATCTTCCTCAGAAACACCCGGCATTCCTTCAGTGTCTCAGGACTCCAGGCTTTCGAGCAGAGGTTCTGCTCTTTGGGTACATCCACAGGCTCCTGAGTTTGGTCAACAGAACTGGTGGCAGAACTGTTCTCCAAACAGTCAGATAACTGATCTTTTGCTGATCTAAGTAATGCTTTTCGTTTTGGTTGTAGTCCAGTTGCATGTCCATTTGAAGAACTTGTAGTTACTTTTATGTTTTTCTTATTCCTCTGTCTCTGTTGCCACCTCTCCCTTTCTTTCCGGGTTAAGAACCTTGTCCTTGCTCTAAATAGAGTGGCCTGGTATCTTCTAAATGCTCTGCTTCGCCGCCATTGGACTCCTTGATTCAGCTGGCCTGTTGCAAACCTGGGGGTGAAAAGTTGTCGCCTAATATTATGTGTTGGTAGAGGTGCCTTATTCTTCCTCTTCAATCTTCTTTGAGCCTGTTGATGTTGCAAAGGACTTTTTGGCACAGTTTTGGCAAACTTCTTGATATGTTTGCGGAGTCGCTCTGCCTGAGGACTGTGGCAAACACTTTTTTTATTGGCAGAACGAGGGAAGTGCCTAAGTTCGTAAGGATTACGGGAACTTGCCTTCTTGACAATAGCCAGAGACTGTGTCTCCGTGGTCTGCATAAACCAGGAGCAGAGCTGCTGCATGCTACAAGACCTTGGTTTGTTAGGGGGGCAATCAAACAGTGTTCGAACCACTGAGGAATGTTTTGATTTCCTGGTAAATGAATAGTTTCCTTTAGTGCTTAATCTAGAATTAAAGGCAATTTCTTTTTCTTGGTTCTCCACAGTGTCAGAGACCCAGGTGTCGGAGATGAGTCGAATTCGCCTGGCAAGCTCCTGGTTCATTGTCTTTTCCTCAGCAGATGCTGCCCACCATCTTAGTGTCTCTTTTTGGGTAAATATGGAGTCTACAGATACTCCTGCCACTTTGCTCAGGTCATGAGAGATGTTCTTTCTCTTGTCTTGTCCAAAGACCTGTCTTTTTTCCCCAGAAGTTTCTACACTACTCTGTTGCTCCTCCTTTCTCCTTTCATTGTTGGCCTTGTTCAGCAGAAGTTGCTTAGAGCGCCGTAGCAGAGCGTTACTGTGGCTGTATGACCTAGAGGTGGAGGTGGCAACAGCGTGCAGAAAGTGGATTGAGGGCTTTCTCACTCTCATTGAGTGACGCACTGCTACAGCCTGACTTGTGAGTTTGTCTTTAACTTCATTCTTGGTTTCTATTCCTTTCTCAGTTTGACTGCTTTTCTTTGTTGACTGATGACTGATTGTCCAGGGTTCTTTGGCAGATTTGAATTCTGGCAGATGTACTTGCTTATGAATTAGTGTTTCTGGTGACTGCAGAGTATCCTTGTTAATCTGAATTTTGCGTTGACGAGGAGACACTGTGGTTACTGTGACTGAGATTCCAGAGATTTTAACTTTTGCAGGTCTACCTGGTTTCCTTGACGGTGCAGAATCATCCCGCTTTTGACATTTGATGTTACTGCTAGATTGAGGGGCAGACTCTTTCACAGGGCTGACAAAACTGAACTCCTCTGACAATTCTGTTGAGGTAGTTTCGATACTACCTGAGCTGGTCTTAGAGTTGTGCATTAAAATGCCCAAGTCGCTTTTAAGGCCCACTGCTTGCCAAGCATCCTGTAATTCTGTTTGTAGCTGGTCAAAGCCCTCAGACACCATTCGTTTGTTTCTCCTCGAACGGCCATACATGACTGTTATTTTGAGGTTCTTGTTTACATTCTTTTCAGTGTCAGATGGTAAAACAGCTTTTCCACTTACTGTTTTTACCCCAACTTCTGAATCCACAACCTTCTGCTTGCGTGGTCGACCAATTGGCCTCTTAACTTTTTGCTCCTGCTGTGGTCCCATCTTCTTTGGGCGGCCTGGACGCCTTTTTGGAGGAGTGGATTCATGAAAAGATAAGTCACATGGTGACCTCTGGCTCTCAGTTCCAGTGCCACGCTTAGTTGGAGTACCTTCGCCTGATCTTCTGGAACCTATTTTAGGTGATGACGAAGCTGACTTGGGTGAAGAGGCACACTTGGATAATGGAGATGCAGACTTGCCTGGCGAAGAAGCTGACCTGGGTGTGGAGGAGGCAGACTTGCTTGGCAAAGAAGCTGACTTGCCTGGTGAAGAAGCTGACTTGCCTGGTGAAGAAGCTGACTTGCCTGGTGAAGAAGTGGACTTGCCTGGTGAATAAGCTGACTTGGGTGTTGAGGATGCAGACTTGGCTGGTGAAGAAGCTGACTTTGTTGGTGAACAAGCAGATCTTGCAGGTGAGGTAGCAGACTTCAGTGAAGAAATAGACTTTACTTTTGAAGTAGTAGACTGAATGCTCTGGCTTTTATGTTTCTCAGGTGTCCCTGACCATGAAGACACTTCACATGGGTCAAACGGTTCTTCTGCCTGTGTGCTAGAACCAGAGCCTGCTGATTTGAGGCTGTATCTAACTCCTTCCTTATCCATTACTGGTGATACAAACATTAGCTTAATTGGACTAGTGTACTGGACTTCTGAATTGGGAGGCTTCTCAACATGGACAGCAGACTTATTGGTGACATTCCTATTTGATGAGTTTTTGGGCATTCTTGAAGCTGCGTTTGAGACCTGAAGTCTTTTTGGAGATGGTCGTAGCCTTCCAAAAAACTTGGCCGCACAGTCACTGTCATCTGTCCTAATGTCTGAGCTGTGTTTTGCAGGAATCTTCTCTTTGGCAGCCACAGTTTTTGACTCTGTGTAAGATGGTCCACATTGTTCTCTCTGTGAATGTTCAAAGGCAAGCTTCCCTGTGAACTCAGGTGAGGACAGAGGGGATTCATTTCTTGATTCAAGCTGGATGTCCTTAGCATCTGGATCTTTGGATAAGGCATCCAAGGTGCTAGATGTCAAATCCTTGTCCTTTTGTGCTCTCTGATTAAAGATGCTATCAGAGAAACATGCAACAAAGAACATCTTCCTGGGCTCTGTGACATAGGAGGAGAACCGCTGTGGAGGGACTATGCTTCTCCTGGATCTCCTTGTGTCCTTGGAGTGGTTTGATAGATATTTCTGCTTCTCTCTATTGGGTCTATGACAACCTTTCCCTTTACCTGGTCTATTGTCACTGTCAGAGCTTTGACCAGATTGGGCTTCTTCATAGTTCTTATCACTTCCACTGCTTACATTATCTTCTTTACAGGGCCTGCCACGCTTTTTTGCAGAGGTTGCAGTCATTACCTGCGTTTGTGAACTATGACCTTTTGAGCTGTGTCTGCCATACCTGCTCTGCAGCTCAGGGGTGGGTATTTCAGTGCTTGAGAGAGAAAGATCTTTTTCTTCATGGGATATTTCCCTCTCTTTCTCCTCTGTTTTAAGGATCTGAACATCTTCTGTTACTATAACTGTTTGTATCTCATCTTTTACTTCATCTCTGTCCCTTTCTGCAGAGAGCATGTTCAGGGGTCCCTGCCCAACTTTATGATTCTCTACAGGTTTTATACCTTCTTCCATTTCTCTTTTAGACTCCCCTTTAACTAGGATTGAATCTGATGAAGTACATGATGTAGTTACAGTAACATTTCCATCTATCAATCTTGCCCTTTTTGCTGGTGACACCTTTCTCCTACTGCAGGACTGGTCAAGCATGGCAAACTCCCGTTTTATTTGTAACGTATGCCTTCTGGTTGAGGAGTCATCAGCAGGTGTTGCTATAGCAGCAAGGACTTCCTGGCGCCGTCGAGCGCGGGTATTAGGTGACTTGGGCTCTTTGCTATCATGGCGATTGAACAGCTCACTCAGATTGTAGTCACTACCATTGCCTTTGTGAAGCACTTTGGTGATGATTTCAGTCAGATGGGCATCGGCATGAAACTGCGGGTTCTGACTGGTTGAGGGAGACTGCAGCTGCTCCTTTTCAGAAACATTCATGGCCATGGAAACCGGAGGTGGATCCTTCTCTAAAGGTTTGATTGTCTCCAGTTTCTCACTGAAGCGATTCACAACGTCCTGCAGCAAAGTCCCACTTGGGTTCTGCTCAGCCTGACTACTTCTTGGGTTCCTACACTGTAGCTCCTCTTCTGTTGCTGTTTCCATGTCTGTGTCATAGTGGCTTGCATCCAAAAGACCATTTTTTACAATTAGGTCAGTTTCCTCCTCTTGTCTATGGTGAAGGAGAGAGGGTGGCTTTTCATCAGTTTTCTTACTAATGTCTGAGGGGATAGGGGAAAGAGGGGGAGGAGAGGGGCTCTGCTCTCTCTTCAGGACAGGACAAGGAGGATCTCCTTCTTCAACCCCTCTTTTTATTTTGTTCCTGACCTGAATCAGACAGGTATGGTTTGAGTAACAGGGACAAGAGTGGGGGGTATGTTGGTTACAGCAGATCGATGACGACGGGCATAAACTAGAGGGGGGAGTGCACAGTGACGGGGATTTGGATAATGAAGGAGAGGATGCAAATGAACACACCATGTTGTTGATACGACCTAAAGCCAGGCTTTGGCAGGAAGCACAGTGCAGCCTCTTGGGGCACAGAACAGTGTAGGTTTCCATCCTGCACCTCTGCAGACAGCAGTAGCTTGAACCCCGAGAATCTTCACTTTTACAGTCTTTTAAAGGGCAGAGATGGGTGCTACAGTTCAACTTGGAGTCTCCTGGATGGAACATTTTGCTGCCATGACCTTGATGATCACAATCCATTAAATGGTGGTATGAGCTGCTGTTATGGGCTTTACATTCACTAAGTGTAACTGCATGAGGGGTAGCATTATCCTGTGGGTTTACACCACAGGGACAGCAGTAAGATTCAGTTTGACCTGCAGGTTTGTGATTAAGCAAACACAGCAATTTTTCTTGGTGTGCCAGCTTCAGGATCTGGTAGAGTAAGGAACGGTGTGCTGGGCAGAGTGAGCTGAGAATAGCATCCAACACAGAGCTCTGACGACACTTATTTCCCCGCTGTCCCTGGTCTCCCAGTTCTTCTGTAAATGGTGGCAGTAGGGAGCTAGAGGCAAAAATGCAAAGATTAGAGTTAGGAGGTTTTATTCATAGATGAGCCATTGTCAAATGAGAAACAAATAAGTACTGACACAGTAACAACCAAATCTGAGCATGTTTTAAAGAAAACTACAATACACTTTAGATTGTGTTAATTCCTTCATACTGGTGTTTGATTTCCACTTCATCAATGTGTGAATATTCTGTAATAATGGGGTCTGCTTAATGCGGCAAACATAACAATCCTGCCTCATCCCAGATTTTTACATTTTTTATTGCTATTTCTGAAAAGTTGTTTGTAGCCTGCAGCATATGCCAACTGCAGCTCACTTTGTTTGCATTTACTAGCATCATCAGAATATCATTACTGTGTACTAAGATAAAAACTAACCACATGAGAATATTCAGACATGACAGCTACTGTCTGCTGAAGAAATGACACCAACTGTTAAAGCAAACCATTCTAGTGATAAACAACTGTGCTCTGAAATAGAACCATTTTCCAGGATTGTCATTGTTAGGTTGTGTCAAATCAGCATGGAAGATCAAATGTCCTAGCAAACTATTAATAAGCTGCAAGACCCTGAAATAAATCATTACATTAGTAAAATGATGACATGTAACTGATTGGAGAACTGTTTTATTGATGAGTTGCTGAAGGCAAATGATAACATTCTGCTAAAAGCAGAAGGAATGATTGTAGAAACGCTCAAACCAAAATGTTCTTTTCAACAGCACTTTCACCAACAAATTGACAGCTCAAAAAACCCTCTAATGTTCAAATCAACTAACAGTTATATCAGGTCTTGTAAGTTATACATTTCACTGTAAAAGTCAATGATTTTAATAACATTAAAATTTTTGGAAGTAATTCATATTGGATAGTGTTTCCAGCTATTTAAGTACCGTATGTGTCCAGTAAAAGAGTTACATTTTGTAGTGTTACTGTTGAATTTGTTATGATGACCACATCATTTTTTTTTTTTTTTTTTTTTTTTTAAAATCACTTAAATAATTCTTAACATAAGCACCAAACAACCACAATATGCAGGGGTGTCATTTCAGGACAAAATAAATTATATCAGCTAACATTTAAAAGCGTTCATGCAGTTGTAGCAATACACATTTCACATTGCATCAAAGTGCCGCATTACAAATCAAGAACTACAACAATCAAACTAGTAAAATCACAGTTCTGAAGCACAATCAATAAATAAGTATGTAGCAACAACACAAAACAGGTTTCTACAATAAAAATGCTTCTTATAAATCATAGTGCAATAATTGATTGATGCATAAATAGCAGATTTATGTTAAGTTGTTTGAAAGATTTGCCAGCAGCTCAGTCTGAGAGAAAAAAAAAATGCCCCAAGCTCAATTTGAAAACAAGCCCAGGTGTGTTCCCAGAATATACAACAATTTAACTTACGCAATGAAATAATTATGTTTTCTATTTCTCAAGAGGTGTTTAAGCTTGTTTTTAAACTGGCCCTTGGACATAAATAGCAGATAATTCCCAGAGTAAAGACATCATGCTGCTATGCTGGTGCCCCAGACACAGGCACTGTGTACTTTTACAAGCAGAGACATTCAGTAGCGTAGACATCAGTATTTGTATAATTGCCAGAGTTAGAAAGGTTGAAATGCCAAGCAATCTGACAAAAAAAGCTTTAAAAAATAAAACTGCATTACAATTAGCTTTAATATTACAAATAACACATAGAAAACAACAGGATAAATACTTAGCTAAGAACATGGCAGATCTCCTGTAAATGCCACAGGGCAGAATTTAAACCATTTTAAAACATTTTTTTTTTAAATTATTTCATACACCACCAAATGGCTGACTCACTATATAATAATTTTCTTGAAGTTTAAGTGTTGTTGATGGCAATACATTTACACTTGGGTGTTTTTCCTTGAGAGACAAAGAGCTCATAAGCGTCCCTAAGCTAATAAGAGCTCATACCCCAGCATATTCAGTATCATAACACAGAGGCTTTGATGTGAAACCTGACACTGGGCTATAGGCAGATAAAGTTCAGAGGTATATGTGGCAACGAGGTTAGAAAAAGAGAAAGAGAGGGAGAGAGGGAGGGAGACAGACAGACAGACAGAGGCAGGCTGACATCACAACAAAACAAACTGAAGCAGCTTTGTGTGGGTAACCCTGAACTGCTGCTTTGGTAGTAGCACTGTTAATGGACCATCTCAGAGGCAGACATGAGTGTAGGAGCAACATTTAGCATATCCTCAAACAAAGACAAAGAAGCTTGTGAGCCTTGCTCTGAATCAAGTCATTGACACACTGCCAGCTTTTCACCAACCTCCAGTAGTCTACAAAATCAACCATCAATAACATTTAACCCTATCGATTCACTATTACAATGCATGTCACCTTGGAATCGCATTTGTTGAAATTAGGGCTTTTGTTGTAGCTACGCTTCTTTGTGCCTGGGAAACGGTCCCATAAAGTTAAGTTTCAAGCAGCAGTCATGTATGAGGTTTACAGTAATACAGCTACAGTAGCAGAATTAGTAAATATCTGTGATAATAAAACAACATATTTCACAAACAGTACACATACACAATAACATACATTTCCCAAGCTTATCAGTGCAAATTTAAAAACATGCTGCACATTTGCATTCCAACTACACTCGATACAATGTTCAGACTAGCTTGCACAAATAGAGCAGACAACTGTGTGGACAAGAAAATGGCTTTCACAAGCTAATCTCTTCAACAGAAACTCATAATGAAGATGTAGCCACCACAGCAGTTTATACTGTACAATCTCCCTGTTTGTAAAGGTCTCTAACAATAGTAATGAGTTTTTAATCTGTTACAATGGCTCTAAGTCACTTCCGTAGCCCAGGTAAGATACCCAGGGAGAGATAGAAAGCTGCAAATGACAATCATCATCGCTCCATTAACAAGGAGCTTTAAGAATTGAATCAAACCTGAATAACCTAATAACCTAACAGCTAGCAAATATGAGAGTCACACTTTATTTCTTAGCTTTAAGAGGGCCACACCTGTATTTCTCATACTTGGTCCTGGGCAATCTGGTGTACAACAATCAACATCAGTTTTTCTCCTTGAAGAAAAACCAAATCATATGAACATGGAAACAAAGTAAAGAACTTCCTGGAGATCTTAAGGATAATGCCGGTGTCATTTTATCCTGTTATTATCAACAAATCCCCTGATGAGACCAAAACCAACAACTGGTTTATCCTTACTTGTAGGTCTGCAACTATTATTTTCATAATCAGGTACTCTCTGGATTAACCGAATCATTTGGTCTATAAAACGTCTGAACATGGTGAAAAATGCATAGTGTAATATCCTGGAGATGAAAAGTTATGGCTTCAAAGCGCTAGTGTTATCTGAATGACAGAACAAAATCTAAAGATACTGAGTTCAGCATCACATAGGTGAAAGTACATTTTGCATTTTTGCTTGAAAATGACATGAATGATTAATTGTGATTATTATTTTTTTCAGTTGAATTATTGTTTCAGCTCTATTTACAAGTATGGTCTTTTTAGCCACACTGATTTAGTTCATACCTCCATCCCATACAAGTCCACTGTCATCCAAAAACTGTAATATATAAAAATGATCTATTACACACCTGTAAGATTTGCATTAGATTAAAGAATGAGATCAATTGAAAAAGTAGTGAACTCCTACAAACAAAATCTAGTAAAGTTTCAGTCATGCCTGATGAAAGTCAAAGTTATGCTTCTTTAACAAAAAAAATTTTGCTGTTGAGAATTTCAATATACCCACAGACAATACCTGCTAATAGGATAAACTTCATTTTTAGTTTTGGTCTTTTCATGGCATTAGTTAATAACAGTAAACAGATTATATAATCCAAGCTATTTCCTGTAAGATCTTTTAGCTATTGTGAAAATACTGAAGCTACGAGGAGTTTGTTGAGTTTAGCAGCTCCTGTGAACAAAAGCTGCAATGAGCACCACTGCCTCTTGAAAAATGCCTCACCTCATAGCTGCTTTAATGAAAGCCCAGGACTAAGCTGGAGAAATACAGCTAAAAGTATGACTATCACATTACAGACACATTGTCAAAAGACCTGAATATTAATATCCATATATTTTGTAAAGGCATGTGTTGTGTTTTAACAAGTATCTTCAGAAAACGTGTGTCTTGTAAGAGGTGATGAGTTCAAGTGTTGAGGAGTTCTGGAGGCGTTTTGTGGTCTAGAACCTCTTTGTGTCAGCAGCTGAGGCAAGATTCCCTGAGTTTGTTGAACCGGTCATGGCACCAGAACCAGACGAGTTGGAATTGGATGAACAAAGGTTGGCAGATTTCTTCTTGGGTGGGTTCTTCAGTGTTCCAGTACGCTCCTTGACTTTATATTCCAGTGTGCTATGGGGCACCCCATAAACCCCCTGGGCCTTAGAAACGCTCATGCGACCTGCCATCACCATAGTGATGGCTTCCTCCAACAGTTCATGGTCATACTGGCGGTATCGCCCACGTTTCTTCCTCGGTTGTTTGTCTTTATCCCGGCTACCTGCCCCCTCCTCTGAATCATCCAGCGAGGACCCGCGTGGTCCCAGGCGATGAGGTGACTGGTTGGCACTGCCTGGACAGCCGTGAGCTAAGAAAGGAGGTCTGAGTTTGAAGAGAGATGAAGGTCTGGCAGCAGCTGTCGATGAACTGGCAGTACCCTCTGTTGATGAGGTACGTTGGTGTAGGTTTTCAGCCACACTGCAATTCTCAGCTGGGATCGACCTGTTATGATCAGACACGGAACGGACCTGAGGAATACGCAGGGGCGTGGGAGGCTCCAGACTTGGAGTGGGGCTTGATGGTGGCTGGAGAGCATCCCTGAGTTGTGGAAATGCATGGGGGAGCGATTTCTGTAGACTACGTGGCTGATAAAAAGTAAGAGAGGATGAAGGGAAACTGAAGTCTCCATTCTCCTCTGCAGCCCCTCCGATTTCTGCCCGCTCCGCCCACGCTGCCACTTTCTGCAGAACAAGACGGGCTTCACCACCCAGCATTGATGACATCACATTGTAAGATGTCACTTCATCCCTGAAATCTCTGCTCCCTGGTGCAAGCTGGGGCGGCATCCCATGCCTTCCCTCGGCCCAGCCTTCCAGGCCTTGCCTCAGGGTGTGAACAGGTATTCCATAAAGCAATGCAGCCCGCTGTTCCTGCAACCTTCCTGAACGTATATCCTTCAAGGCCTTGGACAGCAACCCCTCAGACAGCTCCCAGCTCCTTTCAATGTACTCCTCCTTCTGCCTGCGCTGCCTCCTAGGGATGGGAGGACCAAACAGCAGGGTCAGGATGGAGGTGATGGAGGGGGTTTGATTTTGGCATAGGGGACAGGGGGGTGCAGAGCGAGGGGTCCACTCCTTTATGCCTTGTGTTGGTAACATCACTGCGACTCTTATGTTTCATGTCTGTCTGTTTTCAGTCTGTTTCTGGGCCCTCACACACACTGCTGCTGTGTGTCTCTCACGCACACACATTCTTTGTGCGTGGCAAAGCCTCTTCACGTCCAGGTGGGACAGTCTGTGAATGGCTGGGGTTACTTTGGCGCTCACATACAACCCCTGTAGTTTTGTGATATCCTTCAGTGAGAATCCTACATGCTTGAAGGTTGAATAATCAAACTCATAACTGGATCAGTAAAAAAAGGAGGTAAAATCGTTGTGAGGTACTGCAATGTTCTCCTCATTGTACAATCCTGAGCTGTTGGCAAATGTTATAATACGGTGCCATTGCTGTGACGTTACCGCTCAAGAGATAAAAGAGTCAACCCCATAGAACCAAAACACCAAACACAAGCTAACTCTTCATAATGACTAACAATGAACTGACCCAAAGCACTGTCAAACAAAGGAGTATGAATATCATTCAGGCCAGAGGTGTTAATTAGTTGACTTAAATCAAGCAGCACTGGTAAAAATGACAATAACACTGCATAATATTGATGCTTACCATCAAACCTTGGCAATGTTATATACCTATTGGGGATTTCCTAACATGCTACCTAACATTTTAGTCATGGTGGATTTGAACAGAAATGCCTAGATTATCTAAATTCATAACTGTATTTATTAAGAAGTTTTAACTAATAGTAATGCTAGGGCTTCCTTGTGCATTATGCCACAAGACCAAATACCATTGAATGTTATCAACAGGGCACTTCAAGAATAACAAAACTCTTACCCGGAGGCTTTGTGATTAGTTGATGATGATGATGAAGTTGCTGAGCAGGCAGAGTTCCTGTTGGAGAGGTCGAGCACACCATCTGTCACAGGAAAAATTTATTTTAACTTTGTTAAGGAGTTGAATCAGATCGCTGTGGTGCCTTCAGGGCGAGTCAGTGTTATAATCCTAAAACTTTAGAGGCTGGAAACATTTATTAGCTTTGAATTCACAATGAGTTTAATGCTTTCCCTACCTGGTTCAGGTTCATGCTCTTTCTCCTCCTGGGTTCTGCTCACTGTGAGGTCCAGAGGTATGTCTGATGTTTCTGACAAAGGTGATGAGGTCCTTGTTGTAACACCATTTGTACTGGTGTGGAGTTGACACTTAGACGCATAATCCATGGCAAACTGGTGTATCATTTTCTTCATCAGCTCTTGGGCAACCAGAGGGATGTTAGAATCACAGTCCAGGGGCACATCTAACAAAGAAGGCACAGATACAGACAGAAGCTAAAATAAGAGGATTTGACTTGCAACATAACAAGCACGATTTCTGCAATTCTTTCAACAACAAGAAATTCTGAGTCATCACAGAAAGGATTTGTGATGTCTTGCAATAAATCCATTGTCCAAACACATTGGCAGCAAAAGCAACACGTGTCTCCAAAATGTCCTCATTACAGGAAACTCTTATCAGGAGCACATTAGGAAGTAAAAACATGTCTACTTGGGAAACATCCCTCTTTCTAACTTTAAAACCTTATTTTTGTAATTCCACATAAGAGTGGGCAATTTGACAATTTCTACCATCACATTCTGACAAATGACAAATGAGTAGACAAAAGAATACTGTTTATGTAATGGTAACCACACTTTGTATTAGATCACTGTGGACAATTATGTAACTGACTGATGGGAATAAACCATATCATTTTTCGTCTGCATCAACGTCTGCATCAACTACACTTTAGGAAATCTTTCAATCAGTAACTTGGAAGAAATTGTCCTTTGATAAACTGCTTCAAGACAGACAAATCAAAGCAGACCTGTCCTGTTTTTCAAACACACTGATTCAGATTATTATTGTTACTGCTAATTCTTGTTTGCCCACAAGGAGAGAGCTGACAGTTCTGCAACCACTAGAGAGTTTTTGTGTGTCATAAGATGACATGTTTGTGCCATGCTCCACAAAGCGGAAAGAAACCTGACTCACCTTTCTTATGAAAAACAGCTTGGAGAAACCTGTGAGCTGATTGGCTGCTCTCAGAGATGCTAGGAGCCTGACAGGGAGAGTAATCAGAGGGGGAGGAGAGGGGCGACGTGGCTGCAGGTACTTGATCCTACAAGGAAAAAAAACAAGAAAAGTTACTTCCCTTTTTATACTATTATGATTATAGTATATATTCTGTAATATTCTATATCTTCTTTCTATCAAACAATACAATTATTACACCTGTCAAAAAATAAAAGGACAACTTTAACCTTTATTACTGAATTATTTTGACCATTCTTACACTGAGTTTGTCGAGGGAAAGGTTGCAGAATGAACACTGCGAGCAGCTTGCTTCTGGAGACCAGTCATCGATCTCTTCGGGTTCACAGTCTAAAAGAACAACACATAACCAGGCATTAATAAATTAAGGTACATCAAAGATCAAGTAGCCTCCCTCTGTCATCACGACACACAATTTACAATCTATTTTGTCATATTGTCCAATGCTGATATGACAACAAATACTGACAAAAGACTATAGAATAGTTTCAAGATTTTGCCATACAATTTACAGCGGTCAACACGTAATACAAAGCACACTGGAAAGTTTTATAGACAGGTGTGTTGGATTATAAAATCTCACTGTGAGGGAACCACAGTTGTGCTGCAAAGAGATAATATCAAGGATTTATTCTTTTTTTTAACGATTTGTTATGTACCTGAATTAAGCATAACCCTAACCTTTCTGACTGAGTGCCTAAAAAACAAGTGAACAGGTAGAATCTGTACTGAGAAACAAATGACAACATTTTGGACTGTCCAAGCGGATGCATTTTTCACAGAAAACTGACTGGGTGTTGTGTGCTTTGGTTCTTGGGTCAGTTGTGTTCATTGCCTTATAAGCACATGCATCTCCAAATAAACTACTTTTGTTTAATGCATTGTCTTTAACCAGGAGCAGTTAGGGGAACCATGTGCCATGGACACATTTCCTTACACTAGTACTGTTTCTACTTGCTTTTGAATGGCTGTTCTTTCAAGTTTACATTAGGCTGCCATCTTAAATGATTGCAAGATTGATGGTGTGCTGATATATTTTAATATATAGCTGCATTTTTATATAATGCGGATGTTTTTTAAAGATTTCCTTTGTTGTGAATGTTCTTCTGATTCTGAAGTATTTCTAAACTTGGGACATCAGGGTGGCTACAAGCACACTGTACAGAGAAGAGTGAGTTTCATTACCAAGGGGGGCTTTTTTCAGGAAGTGGGTGGCATGAAGATGTTATGTGATTGTAGGACTTAGCAGGACAGGAATGGGTCACAGAGACAAAAATACAAGGCACATAGTAGAGGGACAGGAGACTTGTTTTGTGGTGACGCGTGTCTTCAAATCTAAAGTAGATTTGTAGTTGCATGCCAGATAATCTTTTTAACCCTTGTGTCTGTGTTACTGCCTTAGGATCATTTATCTATCATATTATCTAACAGTATGAGCTGCGTTATTTTCACTCCAGGAAAGAGATTTTTTTTATTATCTACCTAGAATTGTAAAGAAAAGTATTAAAAGATTAAACAAATGACTTTTAAAATGAGTAGCTGTATATATTAATATCTTAACATTTTCTAATTGTGAGTCCAACTTCAAAACTTAACATGGGTATCATTACATCCCTGTCAAACAGGAAACTTCATACGAAAACATAAATGCACGAATACTTATGTATTATGTATTCAGGACATAAATACTACCCCCCATTGTGCTCCTAAGTTAAAGAAAGTTTACAAAAAATTTGGGCGTGCATAAAGAACTTTAGGGACACAATGAAATTTTTTCAAACAAGGTGTTATTCGTATATAACGGGATACGAGCTGGCATTAAGAAGCCAAATTATTTAATTTATTTGAATACAAAAAGTAATCACAATGTTGAACAATTACTCAAGGTCATGGTTCAAAAATATAGTCTATAACGTTCAATTACTAATATGATATGGAAGAAAGCTCTCTATGAACTAAAGAAACACTCAATTCAGTTGTGCAGTGGTGTTAAGAGTGGGGCTTCTTCCCTCACAAACTTTCTTTGACAGTGCTAACAGCAGCGTGTAGAGAGCAAACAAACCGACAAGTTTAATTAAGGCGGTCGTTAAGGTGGTGACACAATTAACATTAATTAGTGACAGCTGATATGACTTACCTCTGGCGACGATTATACTTTCAACTGCCAGAAGCGACGCTCTGTATCAGCTAAGGTGAGTAGCTGCAACTGAATGTTTTTTACGTGCGACTTCCATACATTTCATAAGATTATTAAGCACCGGTGGCACTTCAGTGCCCTGTTGAAAATGTCATATCATAAATGAGTTTATGACACATTTTTTTTTAAGAGTCACACCATAACAACAAATGTGCTCTGGCCCGTGTGCTACAGACGGGCTGGATATATCAGAACGTTTTGAGGGGCAGACTAACGCATGGTAGATTTTGTTCGTTTAATGTTTTTTTTTTTTGTAATAAATAAATAAATAAATAAACATTAGGTCTATAATTACACAATACATTTGGAACTTTTTTTTAATGTACACACACAAAAACCCACCATCAAATACATTGAGGTCTCTCATCAGCATCGGGCCATAGATTCCCTCCAGGATGCTTTCAAACCCTGCAAGACAAAATAAAGAGACAATCCTTCTTTAATGATATGAGCAAGATATGCATGCTTTAAGTGCTTCATATCTGGGTACAGTATATTCTATCCATTTTATATTCGAAAAAAACTCGACCAGTTCGAAAGCAACAACACATATTTTGACAGACAAGTGCATAGCTACATCGAGTTATCAACTTCAGGTGGACACTAAACACCTGCAATGCTAAATACCAAGTACTTATAGTCACTGAATGAACAACAAACAATAAATATCGTTCGTAAATAGTAATCAGTTAATATCAATGCTTTTTGTTTGCGTATATTCTGAGTTGGATGTCACTGTGACTTAACGTTATAAACAAGAAAGATATCCGCTGACTTCGGGTGAGCTAGCCTCACGTAACCGGCTTCTGAAGCGTAAAACACTGTGTTCAAAATAGCAAACGATACGTAGAAAACCGTTACCCGAGACCGCTGAGATGTATGCTTTTCTCATATTGCACTGACATTAGCTTCCCTAACGTAGCAACGGTCCCAATCCCCTCCCCCAAGTAACAAACAGCTATAACGTTAGCATAGTAATTTAGCACGGCATTAGCATAGCCACCATATATGTCAACAAACAAATCTAGCTAACGACGTTAACCATCAGTTAGCTACAAATTATACGATACGCCTTAATACTGCATGTAACCTCTCAATCATATAACAGGATCAGACAGAGGTAGGACCGGTGAGTAGCTAGCTAGCTCAAGGGGACAAAGAAAAGGAGCCAACTCGAACAGCTAGCCAGCTGGTAAATATTAGCCTGCCAGCTTAACTTAAACCGTTGAAGCTGGCCACCTACGGTGCCAGGCTATTAGCTAGCTATCAGTTAGCTAGCATTAGCTAGCAATCCAACATAGCTCGTGGTAGCGATCCCTCCGCTACCGGGAGAAATCACTTAGAACCCCTTTGATTTTTTACAAAATATGAAACTGCACATGGATCATACCAACGCAGTGTATCAGTTTGTGTCGCCAAGAATCGAGTTCCCGCCGAAAACCTTTCCTTTCTACCATGCACCTAGGGCACTGCACAGTCGCCATTCTCCGTCCTTCCCCCTCTCTCTCCCTCTGTCTGAACACGACAGGAAGCGGCTTGGACGGTTTACCGCGGCAGCCCAGCAGTCGCACCTTCAGCCGCTAGGGGTATAGCAGGCTCCATAGAACAGATCAGACTGATGCTGCACTCATGACACATCGGAAAGTCGGAAATTACAGCTCCGACTCGGAAAAAATATTTGAACGCATGAAAAGGTCAGATTTTTGCTTGAATACACCAGGCCCCCAATTTACCCAATTTGATGTCATAACAACCACAATCATGGCGTCCTGGTAGGGACAGTAATGCAAACGATGATGCTCACATGTAATTTACTCTTATATGTGATATATTTAAATTAGTATATTAATGAAATTTTTGCAAAGATGTTTGTAATAATAGCCCACTATCCTACTCGAGCCTCATTTACATTAACATAACTGGCTTTTGACCTGATGATGTTATTACTCGCATCCATATTGTTTTCCGCGTTTATCGTGTGAACGCACGTTTTTCGGACCTCGGATAATTCCCACTCAGAAGTTCCCGAGTTTACCGGCGTCGTGAACACAGCATGACTCCGCTGTCTGTCAGCCGTGTACGGGAGCGCGTTGCATTCACAAAAGAAAAACATTTCGGAGACCTGTTTTTCATAATTATGACTCACTACCGTTTATTGCATTGTGGCGTTACCTCTTTTATTTTCTCATTGGTTTGATACAGCGTTGCCCTGGATTAAGTGATTTAAGCTCAGCCTATATTTGTTTTACATTTTGGAAATAGAAGTACGTCAAATTAGCTTTTAGCAGTTCCCTTTTGCTGTGTTCTAAAGCGTTCCAATTCCTGTCCTGTCCCATTAGTCTCATAATTATGAGATAGGTTTGTTATTATTACGAGATCAGGATATTGTTATTGAGCTTTTTTTTTTTAACTTGTGATACAGTAGTAATCACGAGATCTGGATTTGGAAGTGACAAGATGTTTTCTCGTATTTATGAGGAAACATCTCCATTTTTGTCTTTTGTGAATGTAGTGGGCGTCAGTAATGACTGAAGATGTACTCAGATCCTTTACTTTTACAAATAAACGATACCACATGTTAAAACAATGTTACAAGTCCTGCATTCCAAATTCTACTTGTGTAAACAGATTTACAGAAGTACAAGCAACAAAGTATACTTAAAGCATCACAAGTAAAAGTATTCCTACTGCATAATGCCATCTTTAAGTGTTACATCGTGGAGCATCCAAGGTCCTGAAAGATCTATTTTTTAATCTTATGTACACTCAATATGTTTGTGCACAGATGAATGTAGTGCAGTAAAAAGTAGGCCTACAATATTTTCAACTGAAATGGAGTATAAAGTGTCATAAAATAGCAATACTCAAGTAAAGTACAAGTACTACAAAAATGTATTTACTTAGTTACATTCCACCACTGCTTTCCCTGCTGTTCTCTTAAAAGCCTACAAATGTTATTTTGGTTAGATGTAAACTATAAATAGATGGAGACCATAGAAGAGCTGTACAAAGCTGAGCTTATAATGATAATTTTTATGACCCGCTTCTGTCAAATAGCCCACTTGTGTGAGTTGCAGTTGTTGAATGCCTACGAATAACTGGATCAACAAGAACACACCAGCATCTGCTGTTATTAAGGTAATCAGCCATGAAGTCTTTATAAAACATTTGATAAAGTCTGTACAGTCTGAAATACCATCATATTTCAGGCCTCTTTTCTCAACACACTAATTACAGTGAAGTTTTCACTTTGTTTTACAACAGGATGGAACAATATTTTGTTTTTAGGTAATTATCACCTGCATGGTTTTAGATGTAATTGAATGTAATTAACCTTAAGCCTAAACAGATGGAAAGAATCATGATAACTGAAATACCTCAACTTGTCTGTTCTGTTTGGGTGCAGTCCTTAAAGAAACCCAAACCAAAACCCCAAATCTTGGTGCTTTAAAATAAAGCAGCTTGGTCTATACCTTGTTTAGTGCATACTCAAGAAAGCAATGCATTTGTACTGTATGATACAGTGTTTTGTTTTTTTTAATGGGTTGGGCTCCATGTGTATGTTAAATGTTACAGAACAAATCTGACTAGAAATAAAGCATCAAGTGTACCAGACCACATATGTCCCTGGGCTTCTCAGAATAAAGGTTTTCCTTCAACTTTTCAGCAGATCCTGAGTGTCTGAATGTGCCAGCCCCTCCTCAGTGCGACCACATGGGGGCAGCAGAGCACTTTAGAGTTATCAGTACATCAGTTAGGTCCTGTGTGCATCAAGATGTTGAAATGCACTCAGGGTATGTGAATTTAACTGATGAGACAGTCTTCAGTATCATTCCTCCTAAATTCCAATACCTTAGGATCATAGTTTTTTTAGTTTACTCAAGGCTGGTCTGTCAACAAGGAAGCCAGCACCAGATCCTCTGGTCTCCCAAATATCATATAGTTTTATTGTGCATCCATTTGTCTGTAAAATGTATAATTAATCACAAACTTGATGGGGTTATGCACCACCAGAGCACATTATACAGTTAAATAATGGACTCCAAGGTATGTCACATTATCTGGGCCCCTTTCTTGGAATGGGGCCAAATATAGCTTTGTTAAAATCTCATTTGAAGCTTTTTGTACTTTTTTGTCAAAGACTCATTCTGTAATCAGTGTGTTTGAATAGTACAAAGATGGAGAGTTAGTTAAATTACACAAATTGTGACACAGCATACCTGAGGCTATGTAATCCACCACAGGAAAACTGGTTCGTTCCTGGGGCTCTAGGCAAAATGTAATTAGGATGCCATATGTACTCCTTTGTGTGCACTGCACTCAATGAGCACTTGCATGGGCAGAATGGGCCCCTGTTAAAATGGATTTTTAACAGGGGCCCCAGCTGATTTTTGGCGCAGGCCCCCCCTGGCAGGTTAATCAGGCTATGCGTCAAGTAATGCAGAACATCAGAAAGGTATGAGAATAACCCACAGAGAAGGGTTCATGGAGAGCGCGTCAGTGATTGAGTGGGGGACAGAGGCAGGGAGGCCGATTAGGGAACATATGAAATAGAGTTATAAAGTGCTATGGAGGGTTGTAGAGCAGATAGGGAGATGTGATTGAATGTTGAGCTCGGAGGAAGCAGCAAGTGTCACAGGCCCAGGTGGAATTCGTTGTCACGGTGACTTAGAGCGTGGTTGCCGTGGAGATGGTGATGAAAGATGGCAGTCTTGTGAATGGCATTTCGGGGCCGGAGCGTGACCAACAGCATACAGCCTAGTGTGCCCTGGGGACAGAGATGATTACGTGCAGGGTCACCACAATGCTGAGTGTTTACGTGCACATGAGTCTCAGTTTGGGCACATGAGTCTACCTTCAGTGTGATGGCATATGTATTGAGTGATCAGGAAATGAGCGGCAGCTTAGCACCGAGGTGGTGGTCCCTCTGCTGCCTGTGCACCAGCCCAAAGGAACTTTTAACACCTCAGTCACCAGCATATCTCATTACTGCAACACCACACAGTCCTAACTGCAGCTAGGTCCACTCAGAGGTGTGGGCGTCTGTGTGTGAGTGTCTCAGAGCGTGCATGTGTGTGATCCTTACTGCATAAGAGCACACCTGGAACTTGTTATGTAGTTCAGAAGAGGGGCACAGTAGCTACATGTTTTAATTTCCCTCAGTTTCACTGCCTCAACAAGTCCAAACACAACAGCCAGAAATAGACTGCATTGACAAACCACCAGGTATTAAATATAGCCACAGGACGAAGAAAATCAAGAGAACTCATTACACCCAAGAATAAAGTATGTCCTCAAAATAACCAAGGTAAAATGAGGACCAAATCATCTATCTTATTTAATCTAACCAATTCCTCCTTTCCACTTTTTTTCACATCTACTCCATCACTTTTCATCTCTGTTCCCTGAAGAGGGCAGTGTGGATGATGCTTGTTAAGGGGTTTTCAAGTCAATTAAATTTACAGGTGCATTCCATGAGCCCATAGATTTTTTTTTAAGATGATTAGAACCAGTTCTCCATATGCCATAAAAGAAACACCTCACACATTTAATATAAACAGGATTTAGCTGGTATTAGTGGGGTTTTATTGTTCACACTAACAATTAAAGTGGCTCAGTGTGCTGGCTCAGTATGTACTCACTCTCTGTACTAGCCCTGTGTGCCCTAGAACTGACTGTGACGCATGTTTCTCGTTGTTTCATCTCATCTTAAATTCAAGGCATCTCGCTGAGTTTACTACATTTTAAGTGAAGGGGTAGAAACCTCAGTCTTGTGCACACTTATGCATGTGGCATTGAATCCCCCCCCCCCCCTCCATAAAAAGGTTCAGATACTTTTTATTTAACTGCCCTGTGGTGTGCACAAACCAGAGGGGCTCATGTTTAATTAGATAGGGGTAGATAAATTAGAAAAATACTCCAAAAAGGCTTTATGTCTAAAAGCTCGGGCTCATAGCCAGGGCCTGGCTGCTTTTAAGGTGGTGATTTGTGACAGTTGATGGATTGAGTATGCTATTTGTGCTAATACTTGGATCCAATATGTTTAATTATTTGGACATCGAATGAATCAAAATGAGCCTTTTACTGAGGTGAAACCACAGTGACTGCAGATTGGTAGAGTCCAGGGTCTCATTGTGTTTTTGGCAGCAACCTCCCGTATAATCTGTGACATGGTACAGACGCCCACCACACTTTGTGCAGGGCCCTCCAAATGGGATTTCCAAAAATCACTTATTTAACCCTCTTTGAGAGCCTTGACATTGTTTTTATGAAAACATAGAGAGCGGAGAGGAATATGAATGCAAAGAAAGTAAATATGGAAATGATTACCTGAGTGTTTTTTGAGCGTGTGTGCCTGAGTGTCTGTGTATGTACAGGAATATACAGTATGCATGTGTGTGTGATGTAGAGACCTGGGGATCAGTATTGTGGTTGGAGCATGGCCATTACGATTACTACAGAGGTGCAGTATTCTCATCCCCACAGAATCGAGTGTGAACCCTCACTTCAGCTTCCCATGTCCAAACAC